GAGGTTTGGAGTCCTGTGGATGCTGTTCTCCCAGTGCAGACACACAGACGGACATTGTGAACAGGAGCTGAGCAGCTCTAGGCCGTCAGAAGCAACTTTATAAATGACAAAATTAAGAAAAACGTATCAGGGAGATTCACTTTTAACGTGCGGGGACTCGCACAAGATTAAATATTACAGTGATCTGCTTGTTAGAAATGCCCAGGGATAGATAAATTAAAGCCAGACAATCTTTTCCCTTGCTTTTGGCTCATATCCTATCCCTACATGGGTTTTCCGCAGAGGAACTCAAAAACTTTGGGAATGTTGATTCAAAAGGTTTCTTCCCAAATACCTCAGCAGCAGCTGGGGGGAGAGTCATTCCCTGACCCTTTCTTCCTGTCCTCTGTGCCCACACCTCCACGTGGAAATGGGAAAAAATAGAGGCTTTGCTTTCAAATCTTATTTTATAGGGACACCTGTACTGAGAAAAAGTATCCAGCAGCATCTTGGGGCCACATGGGGCCTTCCCTGCTCACAAAAATTATTCCAGCCTGTCTTATCCTCTACCAACACAGGTGACTGCAGAAAATAATCCACCCTGGGGTTTTTTTCGTTGGTTTGGGGTTGTTTGGGGGGGTTATTTTTTTGCCAGTCTCCCAATTTCTTCTCGAGGCAAGGACAGCTTCAGCACCCCAGAGATTGATCATGAGGAGCAGCCAGAACCCACAGGGAGCCCCTGTTCTTGCAGGAGCCGCTCCCTCGGCGGAGCAGAGCTGTAGGGAGGAAAGGATGCTCTCCCCAGGCTCCGTTGCAAGTGGGCACATCTCATCTGGGTCCCCTACATGGGGATGTTTAATCCCTGATGCAGGAAGGGTTCCACACTTTGGGGAAAATATTAGAGGGTTATGGCGATGAAAGACCTGAAGGAAAAGCCTCAAAGCAGCTGAAGCTTATTTAGAGGTGCTAAACCACTTTCTTCACCAGCCTCTAAAATGTATTAGTCAAAACTTATCAGCCAGAACAGTTTTGCTGCTATTTCCTTGATTTTCCTCCTTCCACATGGGCAAGAAAACACAGTCCCCGTTACCATCCTGTGCCGGGGAAAAAGCAAACATATCTAAATAAATAAGGCCATGAATCATCCCCCCAGCCCATGCCACCAGGTCCCCACAAAGCCACCATGGCAGAAGGTCCCAGCAGAAGGCCCAAGTCCTCCAGGACCTGTGTCCTGAAGCCCTCCTTGGTGGTTGGTCACCTCCCCTGCCAGTCACACCTTGCTGCCTGGAGGTCTCGGGGGTCTCTCCCTGCACGGCCTCTTCTTCATGGCAGGGTTTGTCCCTGCAGCAGGATTTGCCCCTGGCCAGCCCTACAGACCCACACAGGGATGGGGACATAGGGTTATCTACAAGGGGGTCATCGTCATGATAGGCTTTGGTGGATGAAGGGAAACCCACTGAGAGGACAGGAGGCAAGACGGCTTCCCCCACGGCTTCACTCAGGCAGGTTTGCATCAGGGTCAGGCTGCTCCCATCTTAACTCTCTTCGTTTTCACACAGGAAAAACTGAGGAAAAGAGGAAAAACCTGTACCCAGAGAACTGCCCTTAAAACCATCCCCAAGCCACAGCACTGGGAGCTCTACACAAGGAGGGAGCTGGAGTTTGTGAGGATATTTTGGCTCCTCTTGCTTTTAAACTGATGGGGTGGGGGGACTGCATTTGCAAAAGTTTTAAAATAGGGCAGGGAATAGGATCTGCACGGGGATGCTGATGGTGCAGGGGCTGGGAGCCGGGCTGCCAGCACCACCCCAATAAAGGCAGGATCTATAGGCTGTCATTATTTCCATCTCCTAAAGAAGCTGCACGCCCGTTATTAGTTCAGAGCAGGGCAGGAAATCAGCGCCTGGATTAAGGTTAAATTCCATCTCAGAAGGGCTTAGCTGACTGCTAAATGTTTATGTCTGGCGTCCAAAAATTAAAAATAAAAAAATAAACAAACAACGACAAACACCCCCACATCCCACATTAAAATAACATCTAATAAGGTTGGGTGCTATGTCACTCCTGCGAAGATCCGAGCAGTTTATTGCTCCGATGCAAACCCTGCTGAAGCACTTCAGAGCTGGAGACACTGTGAGATTGAGGGCTGAAAGAACAGCCAGCAAAATTATGAATAGGGTTTATCTGACAATACCAACATGTTCCTTAAAGCCCTTGAGCATCATCACACGGTCTGAGGGTTTGTTTTTTTAGTGTGGCTGCAGATGTATATGTTTTAATGGTACAACATCGATGGCAGTCCTGCCTGTTGCGGGTTAGGCTGCAGCCTCTCATAATCTCCAGTTCATCCTCTCGTTTTCTAATCTGGAAATGTATGAACAATATGTAAGGAGTTTGTAATGGGATTAATTTATTTTGAGAACTTGTTGGTTGGGTTTTTGATTTTTTTTTTCCTTATCCTCCTAGAAAACGTGGGTGAGTGGAAATCGAGCGAGTCAGTAATTAGCATTCACTTTTTTCTTTTTCTTTCTTTTTATCATATGCATCTAAATTCAGTTTAGCTCTTTAAGGAATTGCCAGACTGCCCTTGATTTATAGGCAATGCCTTCTGGATCTGAGAGGATCTAATTCAAATTAATAATACTTGAATCTGATTTCAAGATATTTGCACCGTGCTATATATTTCATTAAGATATCATCACTGTGTGTGTGTGTGTGTGCATGCATGTGTATGTGTGTGTGTGTGATATGTCTCTGCATATACAGGTATATTTAGGCATGGAGAAGTCAGGCATGCTGCAGGAAAATCATGTTGGCATTTAGAGAACAGTGACAAGAAAACTTTTAGCAAAGCCAGGATGACTCATAGCAGGGGAAAAATAAGAAATACAAAGAAAAATAATAATAATTAAAAAAAAAATAGGGAAGCTTGTTCCCACCTTTGCAATAGTTGGGGATTTCAGCGGCAGCAAACCACCAGAGCCTGCCTCTCCCTCCTCACTCCTCATGCAGCTCGGGGTTGGGGAGGGGGACACCCAGAGAGAGGGTTGGTGGCTATTTCCCGTCCTGGGGGGGGATTTGGATGCCCCTGCCGGAGACCCCCCTAGGCGCTGCCTCCCCCGCATCTCTCAGGGGCACCCAGTCCCGTCTAACTCACAGATGACCAAAAAAATCCCAAGCAAATCTCGGTGACTCTGATGAGCTGCAAAGACACGCGGCGGGGGGAGGCGAGGGGGGCGAGAGGGGGGTCCCCTTCCTTCCTTTGCGATGCTGAACCGTCAGGAAGGTGTTCCCTGAGCAGGACCATTTTGAAGCGCAATCCCTATCGCTATTGCTCGCCTTCCACTTCTTGCTTTAGGCACACGTTCAACGCACAGTTCAAGAGCAGTTTATCTAAGCTTAATGTAAGTAAAAGTGCAGTGTGGGATCAGTGTGCCATTTGTTTCGGTTTTCTTCGGGAGGGGGAGAAGAAAAAAGAAATAAAGTGCTGTAATAGGTTGAACTCTTGTCAGAGCAGGGAAATTGTTTCACAGCTCTTTAACGCAGCCCTTTGGGCAGCCCCACGTTTACCTCGGGAAAGGACCATACGAGCAGGCAAGACGCGAAGTTTCTCTTTGCACTGATATTATTTCGAGCTCTTTTAGAGGAAGGAACGGCTGTGGGTTGTGCTGGGAGCTGGGCATGAGCGGCTGGAGGCTCAGCCGGACCAGCCCCCTTTGCAGCTGAACGCCTTCGCTCAGCATCCCCAGCTCGGGCTGCCTTTACTTACTTCGATATTACTTCTCGATTACGTGCGGTGCAAACCAGCTTTTTGATTAACAAACCGGCAGAGCGTTGGTTAAGAACACTTAAACTTCAAAAAAAGAGAAAAAACTATCCCCCTGGGAAGTGGGCTCTGAATTGGTTAATAATGTGCAGTACTTGCTAAATTGCTGACTTCCAGATGTGGAAAATATCTTTCTTGTTTAGGACCTACGTAACCTGATTGGATTACGACAGAAGCGTCACATTGGAAGGCTTTTGAGTGATGATTTAATTAACCATACAGTAGAAAGCTGTATTTGCCAGGAAACCCCTTCCATATTTGCATAACCAATCCCTTCAGTGCAAAGGTGGAGTCTGGGCTTTTTTTTTTTTTCCCTTCTTTTTTTTTTTTTACATATATGTAATTTTATTTTAATTTTCATACTTGAAAAAGGTGAAAAACTTGTAACCTCCCTGAAGTTCAGTCCCACGCGTTACTTGTCCACGCTGTCTGCTCATTCAGCTACTTCCAAGGAAGAGCAGAGCCAGGAAAAGAGCCCATCTCACCCCTGATCCATATCTGTGAACAAAACAGATAGACTGTAAGATCTCAGCACGTTTGGTTGGTGGTTCTTTTTTTTTTTCCCCCTCAGATTTAGCTGACTATTCAAATAACCTGGATGAGTGCTGAAATGAAAGGGAGGGAAAAAAAAAAAAAAAAAAAAAAAAAAAGCCCGAAAAGAAACGCGTTAAGGATAAAAATAAAACAGCACCAAAACAAGCCAGGGAGCTTATTTGCAGTGCCCGAACAGAGTTTAGTTTCTAGGCTTTATGTTAGGGTAAGTTTTCCCCGCCGCAAGATGCGAGAGCTCCGCGCGGGGCTGCGGAGCGGGACGGTGCGGGGCAGGATGCGGCCCCTCGCCGGCTCCGCGGGCGGGCGAGCGGGGGGGACCCCGCCGGGGGAGAACCGTCAGGGATCCCGCCCCAGGATGGGAGAACCGGCAGGGATCCAGCCTGGGGGCAGGGGATCCGGCGGGATCCTGCTGGGGAGGGGGCGGGGGATTCCGCCTGGGGGAGGGAAAGGGATGCGGGGAGCGGGGGGGACACACAGGCAGGGATGCGCCGCGCCGCGGGGGGGAGCAGGGATGCGCCCCAGGGGTGGCAGAGGATGCAGCCGGGGCCGGGGGGGGGGGGAAGGGCAGGGTCTCATCCGCGGGGCAGGGGGGCTGCAGACCCCGGAGGGGCTGGGATGCGGTGGCGGGGCGCGGTGAGTTTCCGCGGGGCGCGGAGCGCAGCGGCGGGGCGGGGGGCGGGCGCGGGGCGGGGGGCGGGCGGGAGGAGGTGGAATTGCATTTCTGCCGCTAAAGCGTTCGCGGAGACTTCAAGGTATAATCTATCCCAGATCCTTTCCCAGAGAGAAACTTGGCGATCACGTTTCCACATGATGCTCACGTTTGGTGCTCTCCAATTATCCCTCCCCACAAAGATAGGTGGCGTGTGTTGCAGGGTCTCTCCTCTCGCTCGTACAGAAAAGAAAAAGAAAAAAATGTCATTAGAAGAGGCGTAACACGTCAGTCCGTCCCCAGGTTTGTGTTTCCTGGAGTGGCAGAAAGAGATCAGTCCTAACCTGCCCAGCAGGAATAACGGTCCTTCCGACAACTCTTTGCAAGGCTTTTTACAATTTCTCCAGGAGCTGCATCTCCCTTCACCTTTTCTCCTCCACTTCGCGGCTTCTTCATGCTTTTTCTTGTCACCATTTCTGGCCAAAACTACAAACAAGACTTCGCAGGTAGGTTCGGAATTTAATTCCATTTTCTCCCTTTTTTTTTTTTTCCCCTCCTCTTCTCTTTTTACTCAGACCACCTCACGCACCAGCAGGCTTATTTCATTTCGAGAGTATTTTAATTTTTCTGGCTTGTTTATACTTGGGGCGAAAAAATCTCTTTTTTTTTTCTTTATTTTTAATTTTTTTTTTAACCGAAACCTGAAGTCACTCCAGCACCGCTCCGGGAAGGGGTGAGCGGTTTCGGGGCGCTCGGGGCTGTGCCACCACCACCCCTGCTCCCCTTACCTGTCAGCCAGGTACGGGAGGTGCCTTTACAACGCAGCCACAAAAGTTTTAGTGTTAGGAAAGGACTTCGTCCTCCTGAAAAAAAAAAAAAAAAAAAACCAACCAAAAAACCCCAACAAAAACCTCAAACATCCCCCCACCCATCTCCTGCTCTTTTTATTTCAGGTTTTACATCTGAGCTCTGAAAGTTTGCAGGTACCTGTTAATGCTTTGCATGCCCTGAGCATGCAGAGCACGCCCGGCCGGGCACCGCTGGAGCCCCAGCCCCGGGCAGGGTTCCCCGGCAAAGGATGTGTTTCCCCAAACAGAAAGTTTTGCTGTTTTGTCTGTTTAGTTGGTTTCATTTCTTTATTTTATTTTGTGAAGCTGGGTGAAGCAACACCTTAGCTTCTGGGAGCCTAAAGCAAGAAGTGAAAGTACTGACTGGAACTTAAAAGTCGTTTACCAAAAGCAAAAAAAAAAAAAATAAAAAAAAAATAAAAAAAAATTTAAAAAATGATAATGTATATTTTTAAAAGCTTGCTGGTCCTCTAGAAAGAAAAGTGTTCTCGAAATTTGCAGGTTTAAAATTATTGTCAACTTTTTGCGGGAGGCAGGGGAGCAAGGAAGGGAGTGAAATGCATTTAAAAGAATTCACCATTGGTCGTTTTGCATTAAAACGCCTATTGCCGAGGCAAGCTGAGGGTCCGGGCTCGCCTCGGTGCCTGTCCTCCCTCCCCGCTACATCTCCTGGTAGATGTGCCGCGGTGATGCCACCATTGCCCACTCCAGTCTCGGGAATAACTGGCAAATACTAAAGTTTCTAGCACATTTCTCAGCCTCTTCCTTCCTCAGCCACATATATGCACATCCACAGAGCCATCAGTTCCCTCTGTCCAAGCAGAATCCCAAGCAGGAGAGTGTGAGTAAACACGCTGACCCCACACACACTCTCTCAATCTTCCCATCCTCTTACCTGCTTGGAGATTTATTATTTCTTATTTTTAGCCAAGCAGGTTTTATAACAGCAAAGGTCTGAGGGAAGAGTTCAGGCAGAATAAAAAGACCCAACAGCAACACACTTCACTGCTCAGTCCTGGTGTGAAGCTCCAGCAAAGTAAAAAGACACAAGGGAGGGGAAAAGAGGAAAAGGGAAAAAATATCTCACTCTGCTTAAAAAAATATATTAAAATTGTTGAGTCAGGTAATAATTTTTTAGGTTTTATGTAAAACTCCCAGTGCAGGAGAAGACAATAGATGCGAAGGCGAGGGGGGATCCTGCTCAGGAGAGCAAGGGTTAATTGCCCTTGTTTTACAGTTTGCATCTGTTACATCTTTTATAGCCCCCTGTTTAAACTAATCCTCAAGTCAAAGCATCTTTAAAGCTACAGCATCTTCTTCGAGATGGACTGAGTTTCAGGAGCGTTCTTACAGCAAACCAAACGTTCCTGCCTCTCTCTCCCTTTGACAGATAGAGCCTCCTGCCCAGCCCGGGCACACAGGCACACACAGTAGGTCTAAAAGTTTGCACGTTGTGTTTTTTTTCTTAAAAAAGAAAAATAATCAACAAAAAAAACCAAAACCCAACTGCAAGGTTGAAAACTCTGACAGCGGTAGTTTTGATTTCTGTTTCTTTTCTGGGAAGGAAAAAAAATGACACTCTGAAGCTTTGTTTAACTAAGGGACAGGGGAAACCCTGAATATTGTCAAACTGACTAAAAAGGTGACAGAGGTTTATAATTACACTCCTCGTTGTTAGGGGGAGGGGGAGGTCTCCGTGCTGAGCTTTACCCCAAAAGGACAGGGGAGAGCCATGTTTCCCTCTCCTCTTATCACTTTGCTGGAGTGCACTTTGGGGGAAAAAAAATAAAGGCAAGAGAAGGGTAGGATTTCGCATGAAAAGAAGTTCTAGTGTCAAATTAAAGTACTTTTAGGAGGAAATGGTCCGCCTAGCATTGAGTCAAACAGCCTACTGTAAAAGCTGTGCATTCCCTCATACGGTCATGAGTTATGACTCATTTGAGATGTAATTCTTGTCTCTCTCTCTCTCTCTGATCTGCTTTGCTGGTGCAACACACACACACACAGGGAGGGAGACACACGCACACGCGCTCACACACACACACGCAGAGACACACACACACACACACACAGAGAGAGAGGGAGAGAGAGAGAGAGAGAGGGAGCAGAAATAAATAAATAAATAAATATATAAATAAATAAAGAAGAAATCTGCCCGGCTGGGGAGAGAGGGGGAGCCCGCTCCGACCGCGTCCCACCTCCCCCGGCACGGCCAGGCTCGCCGTGTGCGTGGATGGGTTCTTTTTCGGGTGCAAACTGGGGTCCCCGTTGGCGCCCTGCGTTTAAATGGGACATCCCGATGCCCACATTGTCGCTGTGTTTGGTCGTTACATAGAGCCTGCGTGCTGCTGCTGCTGCTGCTGAATCAGGGAGTCGAGCCCATGCGAACTGCCATCTGATCCACTCTTATCAATGAAGCAGCAGATCATGGCGGATGGCCCCAGGTGTAAGAGGCGAAAACAAGCCAACCCCCGGAGGAAAAACGGTAAGACGCCCCCCCGGGAAAACTTTTCCGGCCGGCTCCGCCGCGGCCCGGGGAATGGAAGGGGGGGGGGTTGTGGAGGAAAGCCGGCGGCAGGACGGGGAGCGGGACGGCGCGGGAGGGACGGCGCCCGGCAGCCCGGGGCTGGCCGCCCCCCGGCTCCCTGCGCCGCGTCCCGGGGGCTGCGCGGCCGCGGAGCGCTGGAAGGGGGCAGCGGAGGGGCGCGGGGGGGGAGCGGCGCTGCCACCGGACCCGCCGACGCCGCCGCGCCCCAAAGTTTGTTGCGCGGGCGCGGAGCGGAGCGGGCGCTGCCCCGGAGCCCCCGGAGCTCCCGGTGCCCCGGAGCGCAGGCGGGGGCGGCCCCGGCGCTGTCTCGCCCGGTGCTGTCACAGCCCGGGCCGGGCCGGGGCGCGGAGCGGAGCGGAGGGAGCGGAGCGGGGCGGTGGGAGGCGCGGAGCGGCGCGGAGCGAGCGGGGCGGGCGGCCCTGGGAAAAAACCCGGCAGCGTGAGAACCCCGAGGCGGACTGGCACCGAGTTAGCGACTCTCTCTCTTTCTCCCTCTCTTTTCTTTCTTTTCCTTTTTTTTTTTTTTTTTTTCTTCATTGTTAGGGACTCGAAAATGAAACTTCCTCCTCCCTGATAATTAATAATACTAATGAGCTCGGTGCCCGATTGTCCGCCGCTGCCCTCTCCCCCGGTCCCCGCCGGCCGCGCAGGGCCGGGGCGCAGTGGGACGCGGTGTTCTGGGCTGATTTCACATTTGGCAGCTTTCACTGGTGTGATGGGTCTCTCTTTCTCCGTCTCTCCCCGTCCCTCCCTTAGTTTCTTCCTTTCTCCCCCGGCTGATAGCCGCTCCCCCGCCGCCAGCCTCCCCCTCCCCGCCCGCAGCCCCTCGCATGGCCATCCCGGCCCCACTTCCAACAACTTTCCTCTCGAGGAGCCAGAGGAAGGAAGATATTTGTGTGAACCTGAACCCATGCGCTTATAGCTCAGCTACTTCATTTAAGTGGAGAGGTGGAGGGGGGCTGAAGGAGGAGGGGGACACACACACAACAACAACAACAACAACAAAAAACACAAAGACAAGAGAATGTTGATTAGAAACAAATGATCCTGCCCCCCCTTCCTCTCCCTCTCTAGGTTGTGTGAGTGTGAGTGTGTGTGTGTGTGTGTGCGTGTGTGTGTCTTTTTCTTGTTGTGGTGGAGGCGTCGAGCCATATGGGGGAGTGATAGAGGAATTTTAGTCAGAAACTGTTCGTTATGTTACACTGGCTTTTCCCTTTGTGTTGTCTTTGATCTATTTGCTTGGCTTAGTATTACAAAAAAAAAAAAAAAGGCACCAAAAACCTAAAATAATATATTCCGAGCAGCTTCCCAAGGATCCGTTCCTTGTTATCTTTTTTTAAAGTCTCTCCCCCTTCACCACCACCCTTTACTCTTGTGTCTGTCATTATTTAAGGTGGTCCTCACAGAGGAGACCTCCCCTTCCCCTCATCTCTGGGTAATTTAGTAGACATTAAAATTACACGTAATGTTTCCCTCTCCTCTCTTGTGTTTCCTCTGTTCTTTTTATTAAATGTTGGTTATTGATTTTCTAAAATCAATGTCTGTTGTGGGGCTTTTTTCCCCTTACAAGTATCTAAAGCACGTTGCTGATCAACTGGATAACAAAAGCTTTGTGTCAAGTAGCCTTTTTTCTTATGTTAAACAGTCATTTTTGAGAGAAAAAGAGAATGAGATTTAAAGCAACGCATCCATAAGTGCTCTTTTGCAGTAAAGAATATTCTGAGTGTTTGAGGGGGTTTTATTCTTCTTCCTCAGCCTCCTTGCTTTTCCAGGCAAGATTATTAGTTTAGCGTGTTAAACCCATCACATGCTCTGTGATGAGGGATGCGTCTACGTGTTTAATATTTTCTCAACATGATTTGAGTCCTAAAAAAAAACCCCACCACCATCCCTCCCAAAAAAATAAAGAGCTGGACGCCTCTGTTTGCCCAGGACACCAGGACCGCAGCCTGGTAGTGTAGCCAAGTCTTTGGGAGCACGTATGGACTGGGGTGGTACAAATTCTGGTTACTTTCCTGAGAAAGTGTGTTTTCAGAGAGCTGCACTAACTTGGGAAGCCACCACACTTGGGAGACGAAAGTTTAATTGCGATTTTTAAGGTAACCACTTAAAGATCCTGCAAACTTCAAGTGTGTGCGCTGGTTACGCGAAGGTCTAAGTTCTCCCTTCAGTGTCTTGCTCTGGCCAAGACACGGGGAGGAAGCGGGAGGGGGGGAAATAATTCTCGACTTTCTGTCTGTCCCCTCTTCCCTCTTTGTGCTCCCTAATTTGTTTCTTTCATTCATTTCTGAGTGAGAAATGCCCTGGTTCTGAGGAGCAGGTAGAGATGAGTGAGGGTGGGTTTGGTTAGGGCTTTTTTTTTTTTTTTTTCATTTTCTCTTTCTCGACAAGCACGTATCCAACGCCTTTCCCGTTGGGAATTGCCCAGGATTTATCTGGACTGAGTGGATTTTTCTTCTTTCCTGGATTCGTGGAAAAGATGTTACTTCTGAGCTTGTGTCTTTGCTGATAACACCAGAAACGGTGATGCTTATCGAACTCGGAGAGAAAATCCTTAGAAACGCAGCAGAACCAAAATAAAATTTAAAAGCCACGAAAAAAAATATAAAAATGGATGGTCGTGGAGGAAGCGAGAGGAGTGTGAGTGAATCCCAGACACATTACAGACGGGGACAAAACAGAATAATCTAACTAATGCCTCAGTGGGCTCCACGCCTGTGTGCGTGTCTCTGCGTGTGTGCGGGGATGGGCAAGGCTCGGGATGAGATACCGGGGCTGGATAAAATTACACCGGAGCTAAATAGGGTAGAAAGGAAGAAGGCTCGGGATTTTCCAAGATAACGGGGTTGATGAGAGCTGCTGGAGTGGAGGAGAGGTGTGCGGGGGGGGGGGGGGGGGGGGTGGTGAGAAAGGCGCTGTGGAAATCAATGAGGGGTGGGCCCCCCGGGGAGGAGGGGCAGGAGGGAGGATTGGAAGGCGAGGACCCCGACGCGACGGGGGGGGGGGGGGGGGGGGGGGGGGAGAAAGGCGGGAGGTGCGGGAGCGGCAGCCCAGGAATGCGGCGGAGCTCCGGGAAGTTCAGTCAGATGATTCCCAGCGCCTGACTCACTTCGCGGCACTTTCACTCGGGAGAGAAGTGGCTGCAGAGGAGGAGGAGGAGGAGGAGGAGGAAGAGGGGGAGGAGGAGAAGAGGGCAGCGAGCCCCCTTTCCGCACGGGCGCCCCGCGGAGGCGGGGGCTGCGCCGGCGGCCGCAGCGCCGGTGCGGAGCGGTGCGGAGCGGGGCCCGGCAGCAGCGCTGTCCGGCCGGCTGCCCTGCCCTGCCATGCCGGATGAGCTGCCTCTCTCCGTGTTGTTGTGGTTTGGCGTTTGTTGGCTGAGGGGTTTTTTTCCCCTCCTTTCCTCTCCCCTCCTCAAAAATCCAAAATAAAATTAAAGTCCCCGGGAAGGAGGGGAGGGGGGAAAGTTGGATCTAATTTACCCCAAAGTTTCAGTAAACAGCTCTCTTTGATTCCTTTGCCACCTCGCTTCCAGTTGTAAAGAAAAGGGAGAAAGTTCAATGCTTTCAGGGCGTCTGATCCAAGGGAGAACACAGACCAAACAAGCAGAGACGATTAGACTTGCTCAGAGCCTTTCCCAAAAAGATACCCACCCACCCCCCTTTCAGGGATGCTGAGGAAGGGGAAAAAACCTCCTTCACTTCCCACATGAAAAAGAAGGGGGGGAAGGAAGGAAAAAAAAAAAAAAAAGGAAAAAATATGCAAGCCTGCCTGCTGCCTTTAGTGAGTGGGAAGTGAGGCTTGTCTTCCCTGCCTGGAGAAGTTTGGAGGCAGCTAGACTGAGGCTGGGGTGTGAGGAGGCAGCTGCTCCCTGTGCAGCCCAGGTGGCAGCGGGCAGGGCGGGCACCCGGAGCGCTCCTGTGCCCGGGCAGCTCCGCAGGGCCGGGAATCCGTTGCGAGGAGATTACTCGGGGAGTTGGCTCACTGGGTAGCGAGACAAATGTACTGCTACCTCCAGAAAAAGCACCTGGAGATAGGTATTAAAAATTAATGCCATAAAAGCGAGTGGCCAAGGCGTAATGATTATCCAGCTACATTTTCTCGGTGCAGATTCATGTCCAGGCTGAGCTGTGACATGGAGCAGGGGAGGTTGTTTTCTGTGTCAAGTCGTATCTATTTATTTTCTTCCGAGTTTCGAGAAACCCAGCGAATTTGGAGATTAGTGCCTGAATTACTGTTTGCCATTTGTGACCATTCGGTGCTTACTGGTTTTGCTTATTGCACATGCTTCGCAAGGAAAGTTTTGGGGGAATTTCTAATTGCTGTAAGAATATGCATTTGATGCCTGGAAAAGGCATATCCGAAAAGGGAAAAAACAATAAGGAAACCATTACAAGTTAATCATGGATAATTATACATAGCCAACTGCCCAAGATAGGGGAAATACATGGAAGACTGAGATGCAAGCTCTCAGGACAGGCTGGTAATATTCCCCAAGAAAAATGTGTGTCACCCTTTAGAGTGGAAAGAAGGGTGTTGATTCTTTTACAGCAGCCCCACATTCATTCCAAGAAATAGGAAATTCTTCGCCTCACAACAGTTTTTGGCATCTGCATTATCCCAGTGCTTTTAAGGTGCATTTTCTCCTCTGTGAAAGAGAACTCTTTGTCCTTTTTTTCTCCAAGACCATGGCTTCCCAAGGTAGACACTATTTTGTGCCTGTCACATAGAAAGGGAGTGCAGGTTTGCAGTGCTCACAGACAATTGATTGTCTGCCCTAATGTGTTTCATTTACATGTTTATAACGTCAATAGTGCTGGGGTGTCCACTGTACCATTCATTCCAGCATTCCCACAAGGGTGCAATTGTCTGAATGGCCAAGTCAGACACCTTTTTGATTGCTCTTTAGTTGTCTTTTTAGAGTATAGAGAAAAAGGAGAGAAATCTGTGATGCAGAAACACTAGTTGAAAATATTTCAGAATTAAACGTCACCATTAAAGCAGATGTGACCATTAGACAAACAATATATTTTAACTAAGGTTCTGAAGGTGGAAACAAATTTAGAATAGTGGGGCTGGTGAGTGCACACGACATCCAGTCCTGTTCCTTAATTATTTTAGGCTTTAAAAAAATGATTTGTCGTTTTCATTTTCATTTCAGCCACTGTAAATGCATCCACCTCCTAACTCTTTGTATACTTAACTGTAATTTGCGATGTTTTCCCTACATATTTACATATCTCTGTTTATACCAACAGCGTCACCTAACCATTGGGAAAGTCTATTGAAAGAATAACTAGGCTGGGAGAAGTATAGACTTTAAAAAAAAAATATTAAGACCTAAATATTTCTTCATCAAGCTTTTTTTTTTTACTGAACAAAACGACAATGCCTAGACTTTCTCTTGCAGCAGTTTAACTTACAGAGCTGTGCACCAACTCCTTACGCCTCCGGTTACCGTCCCCTTGCGCTGCGAGCTTTCAGCAAAGTGTTTCGAGGAGTTTCCAAGTCAATGAAAGATTACTTTTTAAGGTGTGCTGTGCTGTTCTGATATGCCCATACTGTCCTTTATCATCAGAGTTGCGTCTGAGGGAGGCAAGAAACGATTGCTCGTGGTTTGCATCAGAATAAATAAGCCACTCAGGTTATTGGAACTTATACAGAGATACATGTTGTACATGCGTCTGCACCTATGCGTGCCTGTGTTGTATAGAGAGATATGGGATGTATAGGTGTGCTTAAAAATAACGGTTCACGTTTCAGACTAGATCATTTCCCTCTAAAAAGGATGCTGATCCCAGCAGTTACGTTTAATACAAGTTGACCTGTTCCATCCGTGATCATAAGTGAAAAGAGCACTAAGTCCTGTAGTTTCTGCTCGAGAGGTAAAGCGAGGGAAAACTTTTTTCCCTTCCCTATATAATTTTTGGTGTAATTTTTAAAAATGCCTGTTTGTGGAGAGATTTTTTTTCCTTCTTTTTTTTTTTTTCCTTTTTTTTTTATGCCTAACAGAGAAGACACAGTAGATGCACCGTTAGCTGAACCCCTGACACGGCGGTCTTTTGAATGCCTTAGGTATGATTTCACTTTCGCTCACATCAATGCTGACCTGAATGCCTTTCATATCTGATCCGCTGTGTCTCTCCCAGTAAACATCCCCTGAGGGGAGAACAAAGAAAGGAGCTCTTCTTCTTCTTAATCACAATTCAGCCCATTCACCGCCGGCAGGCTACATTTGCATTCTGCAACAGAAAGCCAAGATGAAAAGAAAAAAAAAAGAGAGTGAGAAGAAGGGGGGAAAAAGCAGAAGGGTGGAGGCTGAGTAAAATAACTTAGGTGTTTGTAGCTGTTTGTTGGGCTTCCCCTAGTTACAAGCCTTATATAGATCCTGCTCTACCCAGCCTTGGCTCTTCTGACAGGCAGATAGTGTTACAAGATGGCATGCCTGTACTATTCATGGCCACTCGCTCTAACACTTGAGGTAGAAAGTGTCAGAGAGGGATCAAATTCTACTCTGAGAAGTCTGTTATAGTTAGG